CTTCATATTTTTTTTTACTATATTATACCCTTCTATTTTAAAAAAATTAAAAAAAAATTATCAAATTTAAAAATTTAAAACTAATGAATTAATCATAACACTAATTAGATCAATATATTTTTATTATTTACTTTTTTTTATTTGATTTTTAATAAAAATATAAAATGCCTCGATCTTTATAGTATATATAATGAGAAAAGTTATTCAAAATAATCTCTTCACTTAAAAAATAAAAATAAAAATAAAAAAACTCTAACTATTCCATTATGTGCTCAAAAGAAAAGGGAAAAAAAAACGTTGTGAATAATGTAGCAAAATCAAAGTTTTACATGTATGCATTTATGCGCGGGTTGACCCAATCTCCACATGGGATCCACGGTGTTTGTGAATCTTACGTAGACCTGTGTAGGAAAATTGTTTGCGTTCAATACTGCCACTCAGCCATTTGAATCTACTCCAACTCAAACAAAGTGCTTTTAAATTTAATTTTGGTTTGCATAAAAAAAATACTCTAAACCGTATATATCGAGAAGTTAAAAAACAAAAAATTATTAAAATAATTTTTATCTTTTTAATAATTATTTTCATATTTATAGTTAGAAAATTGAATTTTTGCATCATACATATTTAACTATATGTGATCTATCAACACTGTTAAGTTTTAGATTAAATTATATTTTTACTCTATTTATTTTTGTTGATCTACACTTTTGATCCTCTATTTTAAAACGGAGACATTTATTTAAAATTTTTTAAAATATAAAATTTTGATCCTTCTATTAATTTGATATTCGTTAAATTATTAAATTGTAATAATATTTGATAATCTATCAATACTTAAGTGATATAATATTTAGTAACATGATATATAAGAATAAAAATTAAAAATAACATATAAATTTTTTTATTTATATATATTTTTACAAGTGATTGATATTTATTTTATTAATAAAAATTTAATTTGTATTTTTTTCAATTTTTTAATTTTTAAATTTTATGTTACTAAATATTATATTATTTAAATATGAGTAAATCTTAAAATTTAACCATTAATAAATATTAATTTGATAAAATAATCAAAAATTCTTATTTTTAAAATTAGTGAACTAAATGTCTCTATTTTAAAATAAAATGATCAAAAGAATCAAAAGTGTAATTAATTCTAAATTTTATTGATTTTTTTCTTTCCCCTTCTGTTAGAATAAACGGAATATTAATCAAAATGGATAGTTATTATACTTATAAAAAGGATTATTAATGCTATTGAGGTATTATAAAAACAATTTATCGAAGTTTGTATACGAATTATTAATATATTTAATAAATTATTTGAAAGTATTAATACATTTACTAAATATGACATATATATATATATATATGAATAGTACTTGTGTAAATTATATTTTTATTTCATTTATATAGTCGTTCAATCAAATACTGCGTGCGTTACGGTCATGCCCATCAAATACTCTTGTATGAAAAAAAAATTGCCTCCAAAATAGTATTTTATCGTTATAAAAATACTATTATGGGTCAAGTTAGGTAAAGGGGCAGGAGAATTAGCATGGAATTAACGAGGAAGCATTGTAATCATTGCTGGATCCCCTACCTACCATCACAATTATATTTTTTTTATAAGTACAAAATGTAAATAAATGATGACATGTCTAACCATTACTAGATAGGAAGTGAATGACATATCGTGAATCTTTAGATTAAAAATTATTTATTAGTAGTTAGTTGAAATTCAATAATATTAAATTTGATGGTCAAAAACTTTAATTATTTGTCGAACTTAGGATGAACAAAAGTTTATCAAAAGACAATTTATCTTTACTGTCAAAAGATCTTTTAAATAAATTATATACACTAAAGTATGATTTTAATAATCGAGAAGCATTACTATTATATATAAATATCTGCATTATTATTTTTAAATCAATATTATTTTATTAATGCTTCTAATTATACTAGTAGAAAATAAGCATTTTGTATCTATATGAATTTTGTTTAATGACTAATATAAAATATATGTTTGTGTATATAGTTAAAAATTAGAAATTTAGATATTATACTAATATTAATAATAATAATAATAATAATAATAATAATAATAATAATAATAATAAAAGACATTTTGTGTCACCTTAACATTATACGAACTGTGTAGAAGTTACAAAATAGTTGTACAGTGTGTAGTTTATTAAGGAGTAAAATGATTATTACAAAAAATGTTATTACATATAATAATATATAAAAAAGTTTCACTGTAAATACAATATATGTGTATATAATATATATACATTTAACATATAACTTACACATAATTTTAGTGTTGATTTTGAATGAGATTTAACAATATATTTTGTGTATCACTATAATTTATATTCACATTTTTTTAATAATATACTAACATATATTATGTGGATAAAAATATTTTTTAATGACATGTATTGTGTCACTATAAAGTGTATGTTACTATATGATAATTTTTTTTAATAGATTTTAGATAAATAATAAACTTTTGTTTAAATTAATAAAATGCAATTTACTAAGTTATCTCACACTAATAAAAGTAAGTGTACAGTTATAGTAGCAAATAAATGAATAAAAACATCTTTAAAATATTTACACCAAATATTGTTATAAATATACAATGTTTTATAATAAATGAGCGTGATATGAAAAAAATAAATAAATAAAATAAGTAATAGGATAAAAAGTCTAAAAATAAATTATAAGGAGAGATTTCTGGTAATTTTTTATTCAATAATTCATATTTTACATCAAATTTTAATGATTTAATCATTAAATTAAAATTTCTTAATATATCGATTAAGTTTACAAATTTTTGAAAAATTAAAAATTATTTGATACTCTATTTCATTAATTTAAATTGATGAATAATCATAAAGATATTTTTTTACATCAATTTGAATCTATATAATGAATTATCAAATAATTTTAAAAAATTTAAAAATTTGTAAACTTGATCTATGCATTGAGAACTTTTAATTTAATAATTAAATTATTAAAATTTGATATAGAATATGAGTTATTAAGCGAAATAAATCAATCAAGAGTTACTCTTGTAATACTCAATCTCTCTCTCTCTCTCTTTATTTATATATATTATATATATATATATATATATATATATATATATATATGAGTCAAAATCAATTGACATCATGTGTAAAAATTTAACTGATATTATACTCAAGATCTTTTATATTAAATTTTATATGATTCTAAAAATTATTTAATAATTTATCATATTATTTTATTTAATGAGTAAATAATTATTTTTAGAAAACATATTTAGAAAAGTTTAAATCATATGAAATTTGATATATTTAATTTTGAATATAATATCACATTATTTAACTGTTAAATCAATTAAATTTTTAT